CCACCCACCCATCCATCCACCCATCCACCCATCCACCCACCCATCCATCCATCCATCCATCCACCCATCCATCCATCCACCCATCCATCTATCCACCCATCCATCCAGCGAACATCTGAGGACCCCATGGTGAGCTGGGAGTTTACAGTCTGGTGGAGAAGCCAACAGTCCCAAAGTGCTGGCAAAAGTTTATTTTAAGCAGACTGCTAGAGGCTTCGGATGTCTGGTAGGTTGGAGGGGAGGATACAATTCAAGTTAAATGACATCATGAGTCAATTTTAGAAGTTCTTTATTGAGTTTTAATTTACATAGAGTAAAATGAATAAATCTTAAATGTACATCTGGTGACTTTTTTTTTTTTTTTACAAGAATATACACCCTTGTGACAACAAGGCTGATCAAGACATAGAATATTTTCATCATCCTAGAAAATGTCCTTCCAGTCAGCTCCCTCTGTGGTGATAACCACTATTCTGACTTGTAACCACAAATCAATTTCGCCTGATCTTGCGTTTCCTAGAACTGGTGTCACACAGTTTGCACTTTTTGGGTCTGGTTTCTTTCACTCCACATCATGTCTGTGGGAATCATCCATGTTGCTGCACACAGCACTCGCTTGTGCTGTTTTTTGGTGAGCAGTATTCCATTGTACAAATAGGCCACAGTTTGTTTATCCCTTCCCCTGTTAATGGGCATTTGGATTGTGTCTAGTTTTTGGTTATTTTGAGTAACGCTGCAGTGAACATTCATGTGCAAGTCTGTTTGTGGACACACACATTCAAAGTAGATGAAACATAGACAGGTAAAGAGAGTCGAAAGATTTTCAGTTATTCAACTGATGAAACTATAAGAGAGAGAGAAATCCAAGGCTGACGGGACTTCAAGACAGGTTAAATGTGTCTCCTTTGTGATGCATTATCTCATTTGAATGTATTCATTACATGAGTGGTGTGAAGAAATGAATTAATTGCGGTGCCTTTAGCTTAGTGGTAGATAGTCTTACAGGAAGGCAGGTTCCTAATGGACCCCATTTTTGAGTCACTGGGGAAGCAGAGACCCTTGGAAGTAAAGCTACAAGATGTCTCTGTGTTGAAGAGAGGACAGTAGGCTTCCCATTGTGTAAAAGAAATCCTGACTCTTCCTATCGGTCCTGATTCCAGCTTCTGAGCCAGAGTGAAGGCAGAGAAGGCAATGATGTACTCTGCTCTCGGCCGCTTAAGTTTCAAGTCGGAAGATCTCTAGTGCTCAAGGCTCTCATCTCCCCGGCTACGTGTATGTAGAAACATGGAAGACCAGCGCCTTGTGATAGACAGTTTAATCTTACCTGCCTGCTGTGAGTAAACTCACCATCTCAGAAAATTGCAAAGTATAAATTGTCTCTTAACACTGATAAACAGAAAGGAGGAGGAAAAAGCCCTGACAAAATACTACAACTTAATTGTGTTTCTCAGCTGGGCTCAGGAAACCTGCTTCCTCCTTCCGAGAATGCTGTTTACCAAGTCTCCCAGCCCCACAATAATTATTTCTTTAACCCCTGGTGGGATAGCACCTTAGCATGGAAAGGGACTGCACTGCCAGGGAAGCTTAATGAGGCTGTCTCAGGTGCTCATGTGGGGGAGGTTTGCCTTCATTAGGTGCATGAATCACTGTGACTTCTGGCTTCTGGCCTCAGGGATGGCAGGACAGGCTGCCCCGGAGGATAGAGGCTGCTGGGGAGGGAAGTGGGGATGAGGAGGCGAGACTTTGTGCTGGCCTGGTTTTCTAGTACACAGGTGTTTGCAATTCTAAATAAATGTGCAGTGTCAGTACTCAGCAGCCCATCAGCTGAGACTTAGAATGAGGGCTGAACAGGGAAATAAGATTGGCCTTCTTTGGGCACTTGTCATTATGTTGGATGGACCCAAATTCAGGCCTAATTATATATATAAAAAAGCCTGGGAGAACTGGGTTTGGGGGTGCAAGAGACAAGGGGGGTGGCCACCTGTCAGAAATATTGTGTGCTCCAAAAATCTCCTTCTATGGAATCTGGAAGCTCACTGCTGTGAGCATTGTTGTTGTGTTTTTTTCTTTTACTTTGAGAGATATCTTCATGCCTTCTGCAAAGTTTTGAAAAACATTATTTGAATAATCAGTCAGAAAGAGGGGCCAGAGGCAAAAGCCTTTCCCCTTCACAGAGCAATGTCCACTGGTGACTTACAAAGGCCCATCTGGTGGTCTTGGCAAGTGATGGCTGCCTGTTTCACCAAGCTGGTCATTTACTCCTGCGTTTGTCTGTTTGCTTCTTCATTCATTCATTGCTATCTACACTTAGAATAAAACCCCAACTCCTCATCGTACTGGGTTGAATAGTGTCCCTCCAAAATTCATGTTCTTCCCTAAAGCTCAAAATGTGAACTATTTGGAAATAGGGCCATTTCAGATATAATTAGTAGGGTTCAGATGAGGTCACACTGGAGTGGGGTGGGCCCTTAACCCTATATGACTGGCGTCCTTATAGGAAGAAAGAGACACGGAGAGACACACATACAGTGGAAGGACCACCATGTGACAACAGAGGCAGAGATTGGAGTGATATTAGGTTGCTGCAAAAGTGGTTGTGGTTTTTTTCATTAAAAGTGGCAAAAAACTGCAGTTACTTTGCACCAACCAGTACATCTGTGGGCCAGGGCACCAAGGATTGCTTGCAACCACCAGAAGCTAGGAGACCTTTCTCCATGAATCAGTTTTGCCTGGTCTTGTGTTTCCTAGAAATGGCATCATACAGAGTAACTTTTTTGGGTCCAGCTTCTTTGATTCAACATCATGGCTGCGGGAATCATCCATGTCGTTGTGTGAGTCACTGGCTTGGCCTGTTTTATTGATGAGCAGTATTCCACTGTTCAGGGAAGGATATGAATTTTGAATGAACAGATTATCCTTCTGAGCTCCCCCAGAAGGAACCAGCGATGCCGACACTTTTATTTTGGATTTTTGGCCTTTAGAACCATGAAAGAATTAATGTCTCTTGTTTGAAGCCATGTAGTTTGTGGTGCAGTTCTGCAGCCCTGGGGAACGGATGCACTTGTCGTGGCTTACAAGGTTCC